TATATATATATATATAAATATATATACCATATATACCATACGAGATGGTCTCTGTAAACGATTTTTCAATGGAACACCCTGTATTTCGTCACAGTTTTGAACAGGCCGAGTTATAGATTTTTTTATGAAAATGCTGGGTACAACTGAAAACTGAATAAGAACGAAATGTATGGAAAACTTTCATTTCGAATTCTGACTTTGATAAATTCCGTTTGTGAATATCATACAAAATGTTCAAAAATCATTGTTACATTGTATAATTTCGGACAGGATAACTTCGTTTTCCACACTGCACACTGCAAAATATGACTTGTCAGTGTCAAATGTTCACTGAATAATTTTGTTAGGTCGTCACACGATTTATTTTCAGGTAAATACATTAACAATCCTCAGTGCGTTAACTTTCTGATGTTGATAAAACAGCACTAGATCAAAGACTAACGTTCAGCTTCAGCATAAATAATGAATCTACCTGAAAAGGTCAGGTATGAATTCATTAACAATATCAATAAATTTTTCGAAAGTATACCTGTAAATATACCTAACTATTTTTACCTGCCAATGAACAGATTCATAATGGTGAATTATTCAATTCAGTTTGATCGTTCATAAGATGGTCAGAGTTTTTGAATTTGTTTATTTCCATACTCTCCAACAGGTTAAGTTTCAAACCTTTATTCTGGAAATGGAGGGGTTTGTATTCATGGTTGAACTCATGTCCCTCTGAGATCAAATGACTGGCATATGTGGAATTTATTTTTCTATTCTGCAAACTATATCTGTTTCCTTTATGCGGGCTTTGAACATTCTTACAGACCTATATAAAACATCGGACATGACCCACACGATAATTTATACACTCCTGTTTTTTCTGAAACTGAACTTTTATCTTTGTTATTCTTAATGTTTCAAAAATGTTTGGAAAAAATAAGTTGTTGTGTAGTTGAGTTTTAATTGTTATTTTATAGGTGATGTTTGTGCTGGGAATCACATGTAAAATGGTATGACCTCGTTAATCCCAAGCTCGCAGATGTTTCAGCTTTTGAGGGTTGTCGTTCGTAGGTGGGACGACAGCTGGTTAAAGAAAAAACAAAGTTGTTTCTTTCAAAAATTTCGGCTCAATTGACTGCAGTTACATTTATATTTGCGTATTTTATTTTCTGAACGTACCCACACCTTTAGAATTATGAAATTTTCAAAAATTGGAATAACACACATAAAACTCATTGTCGGTTCTGGTTTGGACACTCTGCAGGTTATATTTTCCTTCATCAAATAGATAACCAGTTTATAAATTTCGGTATCGATATGAAATGTCGGGGTTGGAAAAAAATCAACTCTTGATGGATTGAAAAGAAAGATAGACCCTCTCATTACACTCAGTGAAGTGCTTGAGAATACCTATATTTGGGTTCATTATAAACCTACCTCTAAGGGGTAAAAAGGACTCATGATCTCCTCATGGTTCAGGAAAGCTCAAAGTGGCTCAAAAGTTCGGCTCGGGTTCGAATGAATACGGGGCGGCTCACAGCTCGACTCATGGCTCGACACGAAAGCTGGCTGAGCTTCGAACCGAGCTTTGGCTCGGGCTCGAATGCATCCCCAATTTTAACACATATGATGAATAGGGACAATCCAAAATTTCGAAGACAGGTCCCAACGAAACAAAAAAAATCTTGAAGGAAACAGCTTGAAAATGAGAATATGACATCATACTCAATCAAGTCAGATTATCTGAACATTGCTTACTCTTCTGATGAAAAAAGCTGCACTGGAAAAAATTTATACCGAGTGAAATTGTCAACATTGAATGATTTTCAAGAGTGTCAAGAGTTTTTTGACTCCAGAGATCTTCAAACCCATGAGTGCCAGAAATGATATCACACTTTTCTCGATTCAGTCTTTCGATGCTCATACATTAGCTACCAATACACATATTTTTCGAAAAGAACTTTTACGTCTCAGAAAAGACCTGAAATAATTTTCAGATTATGACGATAGCACCGAAGTAGAATACACCAATAGAAAAACCCAGTCATCAGGAGCGGAATATGATAAGATAATAAATATCTGGGAAGAAATAAATTCGTTTACTGCCTCAATTAATTTGTTAGGTGTTGAAATATCTAGATACTTTACTGGTATAGCAAACGGGCTTATCAGAAACTTGGAACGCTATTTCGAATCGGGAAGCTCTAGACTCTACACTCCTCAGTTACTTTCAATGCTTTATAAAAGGAAATCTGTTTTAGAGCCCCTCCCCAACATACTATCAAACTGCTCTATTTTTTCCACAAAAGACTTAAGGATTTGAAGACTGTTTCATGAGTTCCTTTCATTTTTGAGCTGATAGAGAATTGTGAGTGAAGCGACTGAAAATTATGAATACATATAGTACGAAACTTGGAAGATATTAATTAACGATAAGCAACAACCAATTGAATTCAAGAGAAAAATTAAGTTGAACAAACCTTTTTCTCTTTATTGTGATACCACTTGAAAGAGTCATGTGGCAGGGTATCAAATATCATTATATTTGATATCCTGATGATGAAATGATATCAACATGATGAAATCAACTGTTCGGTGAACAAACCTACTATCTCAAAAGCATTGTACATAATATTTTTAATTGTGGACTGTTATCAGAGTTCTGTGGAAACATTGCTGGAGATAAGTTCATTAAATTGTATTTTGTTTTGTTATGTCAGTAAACCAATACCAATAAGTGGATGTGAAAAGCATAATGAAAATTTATCAGAAAATGGTATTGGAAGTGAATTATGTTCATAAACCTTGGGGAAAAATCAAAATGTAATGAATACTTTTAGTCACCATAACTTTATTGTCAATTATTAGGTTGAACGACAGGATAGAAAATGAATGGCGTATATAATTTATGAGTTTAGTATTAATAATGAACTCTTTTAGAATATAACAGTGTGTATTGCAGGGTTCTTACTTCTGATAGATTGCAGAATATCATTACCTTTTTTAATTGAAAGGGGTATTTTTTAGGAGACATTAAATGATGTGAAAGAAGGGTTTCGTTTTTTTTCAATTTGTGTCTAAAAATTACTTCTTTTCCTGATCTGCACATCTTTGTATAGAGTTAATTTTTTGAAATTGATTGCTTCATTCCTTTCTCTGTAAGATTCCCACATTGTTTGTACGAAGAAGGGGAACCACAACCTTTGTTCAGTATTAGCATATTGCGACCGCAGTGAACACACCCTCCTTACCAAGGTTGTTATTGAAAAAGCAATCACAATAATAGTTTAGAGGGTTGAACTTGATTACCAGCCGGCTACCGTCTGACCTCTGCTTCAGCAAAACATATCGATCACAGATGAATATATTGAAGCACGGTCGGCAATCATCAAGCCAGTGTTGAAATCAGCGTTTAAATGGTCTGAAGGCGGCAAAAAAGCCTACCCTTTTTCA